TCATGGGAAAGATCATTTGCCATAGAGTTGTGAACTTGGTCTGGTCTGCCCACCTCAGATAAAAATAACCGTTTGGAATGTAAATGTGAACTTGAAGACACTTGAAGTTGTCAAAACTAGTATTTTTCTACGATGAGCCTATTCTGCCTGATTGCAAGCTGCCTGTTCTCCGCTCCCTCTGATAAAGCCCCAGCCTAAAACTTGCACGAGGTATGAAAACTCCTCTGAACTGACATTATCACTTTAACTGTACATGTGTGCTCTCCTGGAGGGGGAAAAAAAAATAGGATGTTGAGAAACAGCTCTGAGAATACAGACTATTCAAAAGATATTCTTCTGATACATTTTAAAGAAATTCGATTTTTATGCACTACTTTTAGAAACCTATCTGTGGCTTAAGGTGAGAATGATCTGGAGTTTTTTTGTTTTTTTAATCTAACCCTGTGGTCTTTCATTTTTAAGATGGTACAGGGTTTTTCTTATAGACCACCTAGTGTCTGGTGCAACCTTTTCATTTTTAGGGGGCAAAGTCACTTGCCCAAGGCCACGCAGCTGGAAGGGGCTCACGGTTGAGGGGGGTTGTCCTGCTAGCCTTCTGTCTCCTGGTTTCCCCTGAAAGCCGCATGGTAAACGGCTTGTTCACTTTGTCCCTTGGTTTAATGCTAAGGATATTCAAGTAGGAAATAACATGAGCTGTGGGGAAAAAAAAATCTCTGCTTTCAGTCGATTATTTGTAAGGATTTTTGTTTGCTTATTTGTTTCCGCAGGACCCTTGGTCAACTGGTTTTCGAAAGCCATTTTCCACTTCTATTTTGGTCCTTCGTTTTTCTAATGGAAGATGCTTTTGTTTTCTTTTAGCTCTGTGTCTGTTCGAGGCGGGGCTGTTTTGCTTAAATTTGGAGCAAAAACATATTGCTATATTTGACATAAGCATATTTATCTGTAAGAATAACGAGATTTCTTTCGTCTGCGTTGTCTTATTGCAAATCTACCTCCATCCACGCGTGTGTGCACGTAAACATGCGCCCACATACAGTCGCACACATGATATGTTTTTGATTCCCAAACGTTTAAAATTGCCACGGGACTCTTATTTCTAGTAAAAGATCCTGCTGTGGAAATCTGCAGCATTTCCTGCTGTGTGTGCCAGGGCCCGGGGACCCTGGTTGCCATGGAAACTAACATCCAGCCGCTGGGTGGTACTTCCCTTTAGAGCTGCGTTTGAGCGCATTTCACAGTCCAATACAATGCTGATGCTTCTCCCTTTAAAATAAGGAGAGGGGGGAAAATCTGAGTGATTACAAATTTATTTTTATTTTTTTATTTTTTAAAGATTTTATTTATTTATTTGACAGTGAGCGAGGGAACACAAGCAGGGGGAGTGGGAGAGGGAGAAGCAGGCTTCCCGCCCAGCAGGGAGCGCGACGCGGGGCTCGATCCCACGACCCCGGGATCATGACCTGAGCTGAAGGCAGACGCCCAACGACTGAGCTACCCAGGCGCCCCAGAGTGATTACAAATTTTTTAAAAAATGCTATTTCTGCGAAGGTAGAAAGAGACCTTAATATGCACCCTTTTCATGAGTGTCACCCAGAGGTGGCCAGAGGTATCTGATAAAATACAGAAGAATTTCGGGGGAGGTGGTGAAAGTGGAACCTTTGCCCTGAGCGGGGGATCTGTAGGCTTCTCTTTGGGAATGACGGCAGGGCGGGCTGACATGGCCCTTTATCCCGTTGACTCTGGCTGAGTCCGTTTGATTTGTCTGAAGGGCTTGAGAGCAGACAAAAGACCAGCTTTCTGCATGTTCCCCGCCCCCTCCCCCCCTTCCTGCATTTCCTGACCCCTCTCTCTCAGAACCTGCCCAGAGAACCGGATCAGAGAGCCTGGAGAGCTTGCCTGAATTTTAGCCCTGGATTTGCCAGTTGAGCACATGGTTGCCATCTGTGCTTGTTGAAAGGCGGATGCTGATGATGAGAGTGATCCTTCATTGGGATAATACGGTTTAAAGCCAAGTGCAAGATGGGCTGCTTGTACGAGAATCGGAAGGTCTCATGAGCCATGTGAACACAGCTCCTGACTTCCCAGTGGTTTGGTGGCCCATCGGTCACTGGCCACAGGTGGGCCTACAGCACATCCTCCAGGGAGGTGGCAGATACCCAGCCCCAGGTTCCCACTGCCCGTGAACAGACTCCATGAGATGGAGGGAGAGTAAGATGGGCCCCAACCCTGTTTAGATGGACGCCTAGTGCTCTGACATCTGTTTTTCCAAATGTGTTTGTACAAAGCAAATGCTGGGAGTGGATGATCTTCAGAAACAGCGAGATGGACCAGAGCCTTTGCCTGTCACAGGTGGTGGGGATCTCAGTCCAGCCGTGGCCTTGAGGATTCAGCTAGCCCTCCAGCTGCTTTATCTTGAGGTGGTAGCAACTCCATTTTGCAAACAAGGGAAACCAGCTTGGTGACTCGCAGTGACTTGGTTAAAATGTCACACAACTTCGAAGCCGCAGTGCCTGGAGTGTGTGTCTGCTCTGCGTGACCCTCAGTCCCACATTCTTTCCACCTGAGAGATCAGTTGTATATATAGAACCATCTCGGGATTGAGACCAGCATTTCTTCATCGTGGCACTATTGACATGTTGGGCTGGATAATTGTTTGTTAGGACTGTGCATTGTGGGATGTTTGGCAGCATCCCTGGTCCATCCCCCACTTGTGAAAACTGAAAATGTCTCTCAACATTGTCCTCTGGGGGTTAAAACGGTCCTGAAGAGAACCTTTGAACTAGACCCTTCAGGTATTTTCATATGGCGGTTTGACGGAATCATGGCTGTGCCTTTTCTTGACGCAGTTGTGGAGAACTTGGTTCATTTAAGCTAGGTTTTAAGTTATTTATAACCGTGTTTTGATTTTAGAAGTTTGACAGGTCATGCAATTGTTTCATCCGAGCAATGACCACTGTGCTAAGTCGTGGATAAAACTTTGTGAAGAGTCCACATCTTACCAAAAAAGATTGCTCCTTTTCAACAGAAGGTCATTTCCCAGTGTGAAAATATGCATAGTGTTTTAAAAGATTAAGTTGAATCAGAACAGTGGTGGAGACGAACGGAGGGTTTTCGTTCCCGCTGGGCTGGCTTCCTTCACGGAGAGGTGGCTTGGCAGAGGAAGAGCCTGGGTCAGGATGCGGGCATGAGGTCGGTGCTGCCCGGTCACAGCTGGGTGGCCTTGGTGGATCAATCCGATCGGACACACCTCAGCTTTGTTGTCTATGGAGGACAGTGGGTTCAGCCATCCCTGCCTGTCAGGGTGATCGTGGAGCTCGCTTGACGCTGTGGCTCTGAAAGCCCCCAGCAGCTATGACACAAGGTCATGTGTTCCTGTGTCACGTAATTTCTGGGGGTCCTGCCCACATCAGACCGGTGGCTCCTTGGCTTCTTCTTAGACACCAACACTCCTGTCTGATTCCACTGTTGCTTGCCCTGTCTCCTACCTCTCTGTCTCCAACCTCTGCCTGTGCCTCTGGATCTCTTTACGTCTCTGATTTTCCTCCGAAAGACCTCTGACATTTTAAAAGTTCCCTTTATTCTCTGGGCTCTGTTATTATTTTGTTTATTACTAATACAGTTTATTTTTTTGTTTATAAATGAGTATTTACATATTACAAATATTACATGTAATTATATTATGTTGCTATTAGATTTGGGGTATTGTAATGGTAACTTGAATGAATTTTTTTAAATGTTTTATTTTTTCAAGCTTTATCGAAGTATGATTGACAAATAACTATATTTAGGTTGTGATTTTTTTTTTAAGGTGTACATCATGATGATTTCATATACTTAGACATGAAATGATGACCATGATTAAGTTAATTAACAAACCCATCACCTGACATGATTACCATTTTTAAAAAATGAATTTTGAGAATTTTAGTTGCCTCTCACATGCCCCCGGTCTGGGGAATCTCCCCTTCCCCACCTTGGCATTCACTTGGAATGTTCCTTTCCTTCTCTCACACAGACCCTGGCTGATCCTCTAAGGTTGCTCTCAGGCAGTTTCTCCTCTGGAAAGCCTTTTCTTGGTCCTTAACTGGGCTAGAGGCTGCCCTGCTTTGCTCCAACCCCAGAACCTGGGCTCCACCTGCCCATCACTGTTCCCTTACGAACCTCTGAGCTTCTTCAAGGCAAGGACTCATTCACTGATTACACTACAGAGCATGCTGGTGTGCCCTGTCTTTTTTTTTTTTTCCCTTAATTAAGATGAAGTTCATATAACATAAACTGTTTTAAAGCGAATAGTTTGGTGTCATTTCATTTATTTACAGTGTTGTACAACTGCCTCCTCTGTCTGGTTCCAAAGCATTTTTATCACCTCAGATTAATCCCTGCACCCAGGGTGATGGAAAAGTTGTGGAGGTGGATGGTGGTGAGGGTTGTACAACAGTGTGAACATACTGTAACGCCATTGAACTCTACACTTAAAGAATGGTTATAATGTTGGGGTGCCATTGAACTCTACACTTAAAAATGGTTATAATGTTGGGGTGCCATTGAACTCTACACTTAAAAATGGTTATAATGTTGGGGTGCCACTGAACTCTACACTTAAAAATGGTTATAATGTTGGGGTGCCTGGGTGGCTCAGTCGGTTAAGCGTCTGCCTTCGGTCAGGTCATGATCCCAGGGGCCTGGGATTGAGCCCCACATCGGGCTCCTGGCTCAGCTGGGAGCCTGCTTCTCCTCTCCCTCTGCTGCTTCCCCTGCTTGTTATGCTCTTTCTCTCTCAAATAAATAAATAAAATCTTTTTTTTATTTTTTAAAGATTTTATTTATTTGAGAGAGAGCACATGAGAGGGGGGAGGGGCAGAGGGAGAAGCAGACTCCCTGCCGAGCAGGGAGCCTGATGCGGGACTCGATCCCGGGACTCCAGGATCATGACCTGAGCCGAAGGCAGTCGCTTAACCAACTGAGCCACTCAGGCGCCCAATAAAATCTTTTTTTAAAAATGGTGATAATGCACAGAGGATTTTTAGGGCAGTAAAAATTCTCTTGTGTCATACCATACTGATGAATACATGACATTATCCATTTGTCCAAGTTCACAGAACGTACAACACCAAGGATGAACCCTAATTTAACTGTGCACTTTGGGTGATAATGATGTACCAGAGTCAGTTCATCAGTTATAACACATGTACACTCTGGTGGGGGATACTGATAATGGGAGGCTGTGCATTTGTGGTGATAAGGGCGTATATGGGAAATCTGTCCCTTCTCCATTTTGCTATGAACCTAAAATGGCTCTAAAAAATAAAATCTTAAAGAGATGGCTGTGATGCTAAATTTTACGTTAGGTATATTTTACCACAAAAAACCCAAAAGCCCATACACATTAAGCAGGTAATCCCTATCTTCCTCTTGTCCACTCCCTCCACTAGTATCTGGCAGTCACCCTGCCGGTGTTTTGTATTTTTTTCATCATTATATCCTTAGCCCCCAACATGGTTGTTGCTGAATAAAACTTTGGTCAGTGATGAGCTTTTACTCTAGCACTGATTTATCTTTGTGTATTTCTTCAACAGCCACATAATGAGAAAAGTTATCTTTAAGGAAATTTCTTTGAAATGTTTCCCTAGTATTTAAGAGTTTTCTACTTGTCCACCGATATCTGCATAGTAGTGCCTCTGGAACCAAAGCTACTTTTGTATTTATCTGCGCATCTTTGTTATTTTTAGTTGATATTTTGGGTTGATAATGGTGGTCCTGGTTCTGTTCCTGGTGGCATCCATCTGATACACTCAGAAACAAAGACTGAAACAAAGACTTACTGAATCTTTCAAATACATGTAGTGATGGCCAAATACATGCTTTTTCTTAGGATGTTAAAATTTTCAAATACTGTTTCTTTTATGGAGGAGAAAAAAATGTAGCCATCCTTTCAGAAATTAATATTTTTAAGCCGATTTCTTCCTTGAAGTATGTTAGTCTTTTTCTTTAGGCTCACAACTCATAAAATCTTGTTCTTCCCTGTTGCTCTATAATTTATAAAATTGTATTGCAGTTGGCTTGGGTAGAATTTACTTAAGCATAGTTGAGCCTTTAGATTTTCTTTCTGGCATGGACAAAAGCCTCATTAATTATGAATATGAATTCCTTTTGCAAAATGACAAGATTGAACATTTCCTCATGCCAATATCCCAGCTGTCTCATTCTGATGCTCAACAAAGACTTTTAGAGATTGTCTTTAATGGCCGTGCTATCAGATACTTAAAAAAAAAAAAAAAAAAAAAAGAGAAACTAAAAAGAATGCAAAATAGCTTACAGTTTTGTTTTTCGAGAAAAAATAATGAAAGGTTTTTGTTTTAGTGCGGACGTTTTCTACTCTTGTAATGCATTTGTGGGCTCGAAGATTTGACCATGGCTACAAACCAAAGGATCATTTCTTCTCTCTAAAGTGTAGGTACAAAATTCCATTTGTTTAGATGACCAGTACTTGGAGTCCCGAGGCTCAGGTCACCTTTCGCCCTCTGACCAGCCGAAGCTCACTCTTGGTCTCGTGACGGAGATGGCAGTGGGCGTTGGTAGCCAGCCAGCGCTGAGCCCTCACCGCGCTGGTGCTGATTCATTATGGCCTCCCCACGTTCGCAGGGGGTAGCTAGCGTCTGTTACCACCACCGGAGGGGGCGAACTGGGGCTTCAGTCCAAAGCCTCCAGAGGCTATGAGCCACCATATTCTGTTGCCTCGGTCCTGAGTGTGTCTGTTCAGCCATCGCTTGACCAATCTCAGTGCAATGGTTTTTCATATTCTCACTTGCCCTGCATCCTGTGGTGTTTGCTGCTAGAGAAATTGACCCAGATATGGCAGGTGGTTCCTTGGAGTAGGACCCTTGGAAGAGGTGTTTTCACCTCTGGCCTCCAGCTGTGGTTTTCTTGTCTGGAGATGGATCTGTGTTGTTGCATTCCTTCCAGGCTGTCAAGGAAGCCAGCACTCCTGGAAATTCCCTCCTAAGTTCGGAGCCTAAGGGCCAGGGAGTGCACTGCGTGCCTGTGCCCGTGTTTGATATTAAGGCTGCAGGCTGTTGGAAACCTTTTTTATGTTCCCAATTCCTTGAGGGGCGGATGTCTGGTGTTGCCACTCCTCTTCCATTTTTTTAAAATTTAAATTTGTTGTTTATTATTTATTTGCTTACTTTAACCGGAAGCTCTGTAACATTACACATGAGCCAATCCTGCTTAAGTCCCATGAAAATAACCTGGGGCCGGACCGCTCAGTGTGCAGTTGCTTCATTACTTTAGGAAACCTCAGGATTGGAACCAAGGTGCACTGGTTCGGCCGGAGGCTGAGGAAGGAAGGGCGGACGACCGTTTGGCAGCGTTAGAAAAGCAAGACAAAGCAGTCATCCATAGTTCAAAGCCCATCCATTTTTGTTTTTTTTTGCCGAGAACATGGTTAGGGGTGTAATTTGGCTTCAGAGCCCCTCCTTGTTTTCTTGGACTGTGTTTAGTATGCATTTGGCTTCAAACGCTGTTTCCCATTGTTGCGTCTGTTCCTGTGCTGTGTTGTCGTCCCTTCCCTGCGTTGTTCTCCGTCTCTGAGGTGGGGACTGCTGTTCCAGCTGCCCAGAGCTGGCCCTGCCGTCAGCCCCGGCCCGGGCAGCCGGCCTTCACCCTTGGCCTTCCGTCCAGCAGCCTGGCCTCGCCCTCCCCGGCCCCAGGCTTCCTGCTCCCTCCCAAGGGCCGGACTGGCCCCTCCAGTGGCCTCTTTGCTGCATTTTTGCCCTGCAGGCATGGAGGCAATGGCCAGAGCGGTCCTGTTCCCTCTCGCAGCCTCAGAACCAAGCACTTACTCTCTGGAATGGGGCCGCGGTTCCCTGCCTCTGTGCTTCTCCTCATACCTGTGACCTTGCAGACGGAGGGCGGGAGGCACGTTAGTTCCGGATCCCAGCTGCTTTGCCACTGCTGATGGCTGTGTCGCCCCCAGGGAGCACCAGCCAGTCAGTAAATAGGGCTGACCCCGGCTCGAGGGAGGCTGCTGGAGGGGGGCACGCGTGCGGATGAACCCTGCTCTCACTCCACAGAAACACGGCCCCTGAAATCATGTCAGTGTGAATTGTAAAAGAGGGTATATTTTTTTGGTGTGAATGCTGCCCAGCTGTTAGAGTTGAGAAATTGCACAGTGTGCTGGTTAAGAACCTTCAATTTGGGTTGAACCCTGGCCTGTGCTTTCTTTCTTTTTTTTTTCTTTGGCAGCGTGACCTTTGGCAAACGGCTCTAATCTCTGCATACCTCAGTTTTCTGGTCTGTAAATTAGATGCAATGATAGCACCCATGTAGGGCTGCAGGGAAATCTCTGTGTGTGTGTGAGAGAGAAGGGCCTAGTTCAGGGCCTGGTCCATAGCAGACTTTACATGATAGCTATTATTTTTTTTTAAGATTTTATTTATTTATTTGAGAGAGAGCCTGAGCAGAGGGAGAGGGAGAAGCAGACTCCCCACTGAGCAGGGAGCTGATGTGGGGCTCGATCCCAGGACCCCGGGATCGTGACCTGAACTGAAGACAGACGCTTAGCCGACTGAGCCACCCCAGCAACTGTTATCATGAAGATGGTAAGCTACTACTTACTTGTCTGTATGTGTGAATGTGTCAGGCAGTATGCTGTGCTTGCTGTAGATTATGTTAATTAATCTTTATACAAGGTCGTTCTGAGAGAGGTGGTATTGATTTACACAGTGGTCAGGTTCCCTGAAATAATTTGAAATATATTTAGGATGGGTACATTTTCATTGTGGACATTTAAAAAACTTCCACACACTCCAAACACACACCCACTCACTCTCTCTCTCTCTCTCTCTCTCTCTCTCTCTCTCTCTCTCACACACACACACACACACACACATACCCAAAAAACAACTGGGTGTGGCATAAAAGCAGTACCTTTCATGACTGATGGATGATCCTGGGTGGAAGATTAGTTACTTGAGTTTGTCATTTGCCTTTTTTTTTTTTTTTTTTTTTTTTTTTTAAAGAATGCCACAGCTTCCTGTGTTGTTTTAGATTTGATAGACACATTTGTGTAAGGTTTCCAAGGTCCAGCTTTTCACTCAGCAGGAAGCTGAGCACAATAATCCTCCTTTTTGTTTGCAATGCTGAACCTTGGAGTCTACTCCATGGCGGGGGTGGCGGGAAACGTTTCTACTCTGTGCTCTGCCACTTAATCCCCAGGTGGCCTTGAAGAGATTATTAACTTGCTTAAATGTGATTGAGGAGCTCCCTTTCTGTGGTCCAAAGAAACCACTATTCTGGCCATGAGGGTCTTTGTGGCCTGGTGTATTCTTCCTCCCGTAGGAATCAAGTCTGGGGTAAGGGCGTCAATGCAGAGCTGATAGCCTACCACAGCATGGGTAGGGGTGAGGGCTCCTTGCGTCCTTACCTGTTTTGCTAAGGAGTGTGTCCTTCATTCATGCTGTGGAAGCACCGTGCCTGGCACCAGTGAATGTTCTTCAACACGTGGAAGGGGTGGTTGAGTTTCTCTGTTGAGAGTATATTGGTGATCAGGTCCTGGATGTTCTTGAAAGAGATGAATATAACAGAAGTGTTAAAATGATTACTGTTGCATGCTGTTCATTCAATAGAAATGCTATATTGGGTTCTGGAACTTGAGTGCCTTCATTGTGGCATATAAATAATCTTTGTTTTTTCTTTTTTTTTTTTTAAAGATTTTATTTATTTATTTGACAGAGACAGAGAGAGAGGGAACACAAGCTGGGGGAGTGGGAGAGGGAGAAGCAGGCTTCCCGCTGAGCAGGGAGCCTGATGCCGGGCTCCATCCCAGGACCCCGGAATCATGACCTGAGCCTAAGGCAGACGCTTAACGACTGAGCCACCTAGGCGCCCCAACCTTTGTTTTTTCTTATGATCATCTTCCCTCTCTTTGCCTTGGAGTAATCCCTCCATTCCCTCCTCTCCTACCCTAACGTGTTCTCCCCTGGGGCTCAACTTCCAGGGGCTTCCTTCTTACCTACTTTTAGCTGAGAACGGATGCATCAGCTGGCTGGCAATGGCCCCCTGAGGTTTGATAGCTGGAGGAGGGAGGTCCTTCTTCTGGTGACTTGTCCCCTCCCTGTCCTGCTGCCTGACTCTGGGCCTTACCTGGTGCTCCTGAGCTGGAGATGGAGCTGACCTGCTCGGGAGCATCTGTATTCCAGGTGTAGGGTCTGATGCAGTGGTAAAGCAGTTGCCTTTTAAAAATCTCTTCCTGGTACTGACAACTGAAACTCCAATACGACTCAATTTCTGTGTTTCCTAGGGCTTAAATTCGTTCATAAATAGCGGTTGGGAGAAGCTGACTTAACTGTTTTTGTGAACCCTAGATGCAAAAAAAGTCCTGGAGTAAATAAGGAAAGCTAAGTTTAGAGAATGTCTTGGCAGTTGTTAGAGGTGATTTTAATCAAATCCCAAATTAGTGTGTATGTGAGGTTCATAACTCTTTTTTGATGGTGGCTGTTGGGGTTAGTCCTTGTCAAATCCTGTACAGTGTGTTGTATAAATTTTCTCCCATTGAGGAGTTAGGCTGCCTTCTAAACTTTCTCATGGATCTTGTTGCAAAGTGTGAGAGGTTTCAAGATTCTCACAGTCTATATAAATCTTCCATTGGCATTCTCAGATGTTCAGTGTGAGGCGAGTCGACTGGTATTGTGGGTTTCTACACCACATCCAGCTCTTCTGTTGTGACCGAATGGCAGTTGGTTCCATGGTTCACCGAACAAACTCTGAACACATTCCACTTTTAGAGGACTGGGGCAGCTTCTGGAAAGGGCTTTTGAAGCAGATCAGGCAAGGGTTTGGGCCCAATAGGGCTAACTGTCCAGAATGGGAAAGAATGCATGTACCTTCAACCCTGTTGCTCACAGGAAAAAGTGACCATTTCTGTGGAAACTGGAGTGTTTTTGAATCTTCATTGGTGGGCCTTTGCCCAGATGAAAATCTGATCTTTCGAAGCATAGGGAACCATGCAGGACAAGTACATATTCATGCAGAGATCGACTCCAAAGGCCTGCAGGCTGGTAGAATCTATTCTCATATAAGTTAACCTTCTCACTGCAGTAAAAACAGAGAGGGAGATGGAAGGAGGGAGGTGGGACAGAGGGAACACAGCACACGTGCAGTTAAGCTTTAGAGGTAAAGAATTTGAATCTGTTTCTAATCAGGCTCTGCACCAGTTTTATTTAACTCGCATAATGGCTAGGCAGGGTTTGGGTATGACATCTAAGGGAGGGGGCAGGTCACAGACATGAATGAGTGGAGTCTGGCTGCCAACGGGAAAGCATGTGGCTTGTCTAAAGCAGGCAACGACCCTGTTGTCTTATTGGAAAGTGGGCTTAGGTCCTTGGATTTTTAGGAACAGTGCTGTCCGATAGAATTGTATTAGACTGAAATAGGATTGTAGTAGCCATTGTATTGATGATGGAAACGTTCCATACCTGCATCATCCAGTAAGGCAGTCACATGTGGCTACTGAGCACTTGAAATGTGGCTGGTATGATCGAGGAACCATATTTTTAATTTTATTTCAATTGAATTGATTTAAACTTAAATAGCCACGTGTGACTCATGGCTACCACATCGGGCAGCACAGGTGTAGAAGAAGCCAGAATCTGGGTATTATGTACAATCTTCTGATTTTTAGGAGTTTGCAGGCTACATTTGGCTCATGGACTGTCACCTTACAACCTCTACCCAGACGAAAATCAGAAGGGCATTTAAAAAGTCCTGATACTTGTTGGGCTTTGCTCTCAGATGGTCTGATTTAACTCCTCTGAAGTGGGGCTGGGCATCAGTATTTTCTAAAGCACCTAGGTGGATTCTAAGTGCAGACAGGGTCAGAAACCACCTCTTAGACCCTGAACATTAGAGGGTGACCATACAAGATCCTTATGGATTTTCAAATGCTCAAAAGCCACTATAGTGTCCAGGTACTTTCAGTTTCTATACGTGTTCAATGAGGATGGTTATACCGGCCTCTTAGAGTAGTTGCAAAGGCTAAATAAAATCTGTTAAATGAAAAGAAGAAAACCAGAGTTGAGATGCAGGCACTAGGCTTGGCTTACTTACTAGCTAAAGGTCTTGCCTTCACAGACCAACCTCGCCTCTGTGGGGGAGGAACACTTTTTCCCAACACCTTCTGAGGTTCTCCAGCGAGGGACCCCATGAAATGGACTGACAAAAGGCAGATTAACAGGAGAAAAACATACACATTTCTTTCATATAAGTTTTATGCCAGATGGGAGCCTTCATAAGGAAATGAAGATTCTAAGAAATAGTTGAACCTGAGTGGCTTTTTAAGTTTTGATGAGGAGTGGAAAGTCATGGGAAAATGTGATGGGACAAAAGGGTAGAAACTAAGGTAGTTACTGGGGGAAGTGTATCAAGGCCTGTTCATTCGGATTCCTTTAGATATCCCTCCGAGGGCAGAGAATCCTTCCTGCACCTGCTGCTTCTCAAATCCTTTCAGCTTAAAGTATTTCTTATGTCAAAGTGGCATATTTGGGGGCAGCATATCCTGATCCCCCTCACCACATACGGGATTCAGACCTTGCCTTGGCAAAACCATGTAACCCTCGCTATGGACTATAGAATTTCTTAAGAAAGGAGTGCCTAAATCTTCGAATGCCAACAGTCTTCTGACGTCACACTCTAGAGCAAGAATGACAGATACACGACAGACGTTGTGTGTTGATCTGCGTCTGTTAGATTCCAAAGCTGGTGCCACTCCCAGGTTAACAGGTTGGAGTGGAATTCAAAGTAGAGAAAGCGAAGGAGGATAGACATTTTATAGTTTAAGGAGTGTTTTTAGGCATGCGTGTGTGTTTTTAGTGAAAACAGGCAATGAGTTGCCATTGGTCTGTAAATTCCACAGTGGAGGAGACGGGGTTTGCCTTGTTTATTGTGTTCCTCCGGCCCCAGACATTGTAGGGGCTCATTAAACCTTTGTTGAATAAGAGGGTGAATTAGAGCCAACCAGGCCTTGCACCAAAGTGTTGAGATATTTGAGAAAGATTGTTTTCATGTCTGTTCTCGTAAAAGGTTTGGAGAGGTTAGTTAGTTTTCTTTGGGTCACAGAGCTAAGTGGCAGAATTAGTATTTTAAAGTCTGATATTGTTCCTTTAAGACCATACTAACTTCATTGCCATAAATACATGTACTAACAACACATACACAGACAAACACATACATACACACAAAAAAGAAAAAAAATATACTAACCACTAGGTAAAATCATTTCTAAAATGCATGCAGTGGATCAGAGGGGGATCAACTAGGATTATGGATCCCTAGGATTAGGGATCAGCCCATCTATCACTTCCATACTGAGGGTATATCACTGAAAACTCCCAGGGATCAAAGACCTTTAGGGGAAAAGATGTGTTTGATATCCTTTATATCCACCAGCATGTCCACTGCTGAACCCACAAGAGGAATCTAAGGAGCACCTACCGATCTGATTCAGAAAATATAAATAAGTATTCTCATACTTCTTTTTCATGGAGGAGAGAGTGAAACACTTAACGTTTAGAAATAAGCAGGCACGTTTTAAAATTTGTAGTCT